AATGTAATTATTGTTATGGTTGGATTAAAAATCTACCATCTAGATGCTTTATTTGTTTCATCTCTTCTTTGTTCCTTTTATCCTCTTTTGATGCTTACCTTTGTATTAATTGAGAGTTTTTATTATTTTTTTATCACCATGATTGGCTTATTATATTTATTTATTTTAAAAAATTTCAGTGTTTACTCTAGTGTTTACAACATGTGTCTTTAATCATAGTCTACCTTCAAATAATATTGTACCACTTCATGTGTAGTATAGAAACCTTAGAACATTATACTCCAAGTCCTTCTCTCCCAACTTTTGTACTATTGTTGTCATACATTTTTCTTTCATGTATCCTATAAACCCATAGTACATTACTACTATTTTTACTTTAAACAGTTATTGTTAGAACAATTAAAAAAATTTTTATGTCTTTCATACTTACCTATATTTTTTAAAGTTTTTCCTGAAGAAGATTAGCCCTGAGTTGCCATCTGTTGCCAATCTGCCTCCCTTTTTTTCTGCTTGAGGAAGATTAGCCCTGAGCTAACGTCCATGCCACTCTTCCTCCATTTATACGTGGGTTGCCCCACTAGCATGGCTGATGAGTGGTGTAGGTCCATGCCTGGGATCTGAACCCGCAAACCTGGGCTGCTGGAATGGAGCATGCCAAACTTAACCAATATGCTACGGGGCTGGCCCCTATACTTACCTTTATTTTAACCATTTCTAGAGATCTTAGTTTATTTAGATCCAGGTTCTGTCTGGTATATGCCTTCTCCCTGAAGAACTTCTTTTAACAATTCTTGTAGTACAAGTCTGCTGATAATGAATTCGCTCAGGTTCTCATCTATTTAAAAAAATTGTTCTTTCTCCTTTATTTTTGTGAGTTATTTTTATGGGCATAGATTCTGAGTTGACAGGTGTTTTCTCTTTCAATACTTTTAAGAAGTCATTTTGTTGTTTTCTGGTTTGTGTTGTTTCAGATGAGAAGAGTGCTTGAATCCTTACCTTTCTCCTCGTTTATATAATATGTTTCTCCCTCTCCCTTTGATGGCCTTTAAGATTTTCTCTTTGTCTTTGATTTCAGCAGTTTGAATATGACATGTCTAGGTGTGTTCGATTTTTGTTTGGTTTGGTTTTGTATTTATATTGCTTGGAATTCTCTGAACTTCTTGGATCTGTGATTTGATATATTTCAGTATTTTTGGAGAATTCTTGGCTGTTATTCCTTCACATATTTCTTCAGCTCCATTCTCTATTTCTTCTTTTTCTAGGATTCCAATTACACATGTATTAGACCATTTGATACTGACCCGCGGCTCCCAGATGCTTGGTTCTCTGCCTCCCCTCCACCACTCTTTTATTTCTTTGTGTTTCCATTTGGATAATTTCTCTTGACCTATTTTCAAGATCCCTGATTTTGTTTCCTCAGTTGTGTTGAGTCTGCTGAGGAGCCTGTGGAAGCATCCTTCATCCACAGAAAAGAGAAGGAAATTGGTGGTTGGCTAGTGCTGGGGTAACGTGGAGGATTTGGGGTAGTGACTACAAATGAGCACAAGGTTTCTTTTTGGGGTAGTGAAAATGTTCTAAAATGCATTGAGATGATGGCTGCAGAACTCTGACTATACTAAAAAACCATTGAATTGTACACTTTAAATTACAGGGTGTTTTACATGGGTGAATTACATGATATGTGACTTATATCTCGATAAAGCTGTTCTTAAAAAGAAACCTTCATGCCTTAGGTTCAGAGGCTACATTGATTGATCAGGGAGAGACAAGAAATCTTACTGATAGTGTTGAAGGATAGACAGAACAAAAAATAATTCTGAGGGAAATGTTGCTGTAACTGAAGCTGGTAGAAGGATAGAGAACATTTATTATTTTACTGTTGTGTATCTGATTCTAAGTGTTGGAAACTGTACTAAATGTTCTTAACTAGTTCATGTCTTTATCTTTTCATATGTTTTATTAGTTCCTATAGGTAAAATGTGGTTTATGGTTATTAGTCTTATAGATAAAACAGTTCCAAGTCCTCTCATTGCTTTGAGTTCTCTCCAGTGTTCAAGCTCCCTTCTACTGTGTGCTCTGGGATGCCTGACCCACGAGGTGCTAGTGTTACTGGCAGACTTTAATGACCTGAGAGTCTTCTGTTATAAAACAATATATGAGTAGGGCCTGGGAGAGTTCTCTCAAACGAGAATTTCAGGACAGTTTGCCTACATGGGATTCTCTAAGAAATCCACGAGAATCTCATGATAGCCCAGCAGATGCTCCTTCTCTGTGGAGAAGACACATGTGCCCCTGGGGTGTTGTATGTCTGCAGACACTCAGAAGTCTTTTAGATGGTTCTTGATGTTTCTAATATAGAATAATTCCCAAAATTTACTAAGTGAAAAAAGCAGGGTATAGAACAGCATTTGTAATATGCTATAATTTGTATTTAAGACAAAATGGGGACAAAAACATATGTGTATTTCAGGGGCTGGCCTGGTGGCATAGTTTGCATGCTCCACTTGGGTGGCCTGGGGTTCGTGGGTTTGGATCTCGGGTGTGGACCCACACAGAACTCATCAACCCATGCGGTGGAGGTGTCCCTTGTACAAAATAGAGGAAGACTGGCACAGATGTTTAGCTCAGCGACAATCTTCCGCAAGTAAAAAGAAGAAGATTGGCAGCAGATGTTAGCTCAGGGCCAATCATCCTCACCAAAAAACAAACAAACAAACATGTGTATTTTTATAGCTTATCCCTAGGAGACACTGAGGACCTGGCTGACTCTGCGGAAGGAGTAGGAGCTGGGTAACGAGGAACGGGGTGAAAGAGATTTTACTGCACACTCTTTTGTATCTTTTGAATTTTGAACCATATAAATGTATTGGCTATTCAAAGAGAAATACGAGTTAAATTAAAAACAAAATCCTTCTAGGATGGTTAACCAAACTTGAGACTTAGATTGGCCCCTGATAATTTCCTCTTTGCCCCCATTTTTTTCTTAGGTCTTCCTTCTTCGGGCCCTCCACCTCTAATCATTTGCCTGCAACAGACAGGTTGCGAGATCCCCCTCCCTCTCAGAATCCAGTAGAAACTCTTCAGAGGGGTGGGCAGCATTTCTAGAGTATCTCTTGTGGCTGCTTGCCATATTTATCCCCAAACCTTCTCAAACTGGCACCTCCATCAGGCTTACCTGGAGGGCTTGTTGAAACACAGGTTACTGGGTCCCCCTTCAGAGTGTCTATTCAGCAGATCTGGATAGTTCTAGCAAGCGCCCAGGTGATGTTAGCGGGCACCACAGTTTGAGAACCACTGCTCTAGGTGAAAATAGTTTCTCCTGTGATGTGTTGACGTGCAGGTTTGGTGTTCCAGTTTTGTCCTCATTTAGACATATGAAGAAATAAAAACAGGAGAAGCCCGTCCCTTTCCATGGGCATTCCCGTAGCTCACCATTGTCCATCTCTCTGTCCAGCCAACAGTACCCATCAGGTTCTGTCCCCTTCATAAGATGGTATGCATGTCACCACCAGCAGGACTGAGATATCAGAAGCCTGACATCCCCCTTCATGTGTACTCCCCAGAGCAGACATTCTTTCTGTCACTGCTGTCAACTCCCTATGAAGACTTAATTGGGATTTAAGAGCAGGCATTACAACTGTCATGCTAATTGCTGATTCCCCTTCCAGTGTTTCTCAGCAGGGGCACTGTTAGCATTTTAGATGAGACAGTTCTTTATAATGAGCATTCTGTTTAATATAGAATATTCAGCATCCTTGTCCTCTTCCCCATATCCTCAAGCATTACGGCAAGCAATAATCCCACCACAATCCCAGTGCTCCCCCTCCTCAAACCTTCTCCTTCCCCACTTCCCGCAGAGCGGGTGGTATGGTGCCCTGAGAACCACTGTGTCTTGTAATAAGCTACCAGACCCCTGCCCAAACCACATTACCTTAGCTCCCTGCAAAAATCTGAAGTCATGTTTTAATATTTTCCTTGCTTTCATTAAATGTTCATGTTAAAAAGTGGCCAAATGGTGAGTATTTCTTTCTGAAACACTATGGGTGGAATTGCCCATCATGATGTTCAGTCTCCTCTCTGTAGAGATTAGCAGTGGAGGGCCCTGTTCCCCGATGAAGTGCCTTTACATCCTTGCCCGGCAAGGAGACTTATAGCACTCATCCTGTTCCCTTTTTATGCCATGCATGTTAGGGAACTGAGGAATAGATGTAATGCTTGATAAGGTTGCACATTAGCTTAGAAAACCATTTTGCATGTATTATCAGCTTTTATACAGTCTTAGTTTTTAAATAATCAGTAGGTTAATTTTGCATTTTAAAAAATTTTTGTTTTTAAATTATTTTTATTTTTTTGCTGAGAAAGATCTGGCCTGAGCTAACATCCAATGCCAATCTTCCTCTTTTTGCTTCAGGAAGATTAGCCCTGCCCTAACATCCGTGCCAGTCTTCCTCTGTTTTGTATGTGGGGTGCCGCCACAACATGGTGACGAGTAGTGTAGGTCTGCGCCTGGGAACGGTATCCCTGAACCCAGGCTGGTGAAGCAGAGTGCACCAAACTTAACCACTATGCCACCAGGCCGGCCCCTAATGTTGCGTTTTCTTGTGAGTGACTTCAGGTGCTTTTAGAAGCAGTCCTTGGGAAACATTGAGTTGTGAAAGGATTGTAGCCAGGAATGGCCTAATCCGCCAGGCAAAAGGATGGGCACGGCAGAGCACACAGGGCCTCGGGTGGGCACAGGACAGGTCACGGGCCTCAGACACAGGACGAGCAGCAGGCGAGGAGGCTCGTCTTGCGGGCAGCAAGTGGAAGGGTGGCTGGTGAGGATAAGGCCAGGTGTGCTCAAGCTGGAGGTGGAGTCAGGGTCAAAGAATCAAGAGCCACAGGTATCCCTGAGTCCTCACCAAGGTGGAGAATCCTTGAGGAGAGTGACAGCAGATGGACCGAGCTTGCTGGGTAGAGAGAAGTTCTGCTGGGATTGGCTGCCTTAACTGGTGAGAGACGCAGAAACCGTTACTTACAGGAACACCATCCTGCTTTGCTCCCACTTTGTCCTGTGGCCTGATTACCAGGAGCAGTGGGTGCAGACAGGCTGGCACTCTTGGGATCAGCTTTCTGCTGAAGCTACCTGTTCCGGTGGAAAACAACATCTAACATCCACCACCTCCCAGCCCTCCTCTGAGGGCCCAGTCCTCACAAGGTGTGTTGGGAGGGGGGGGGGCACCCCCCCAGATGGAAGGTGTCCACCCTCTGGATCTCCTGTGTCATTTAAGGGATTGTATGAGGACCTTTCAGTGTGAAGGTCTCTACTGAAATTCTTTGAGAGAGCTTGATTTCCTTTGGGTTTACAAACTATCCTTTACAAATTAACACACCTCCTGGAAGGAGAGCTCACAAAGGCTCAGAGACAAATCATTTGCACCTTTGAGAGAATGGAGTTACTGCCTACCGTAGGCGTTGTTTGCCTCCTAATAAATACATGAAATTTGCTGCTGGAGGGAGATAGAAGTTTCTGCATGGAGGAGGAAGGGTGAATTCAGGAGCTTGGGCTGAGCTGAGGGGTGGCCCCTGTGGGCCCCCTCAGTGTGGGTTCTAGGGGGCAGGGGATGTGAGCTGGGCCCTGGGACGGTGAGGGAGGGTCGCTCATTTCTGAGGACAGTCCTCTCCCGGGTGTGGGTAGTTTCTTCTGCCCTGCCTGCTCCTCCTTCTCCTGGCCGTGTCACCGAAGCCCAGCCCCTGGTTGCCCAGGAGCCAGCTTCCCCCAAAGGCCCCAGCAGCCACCTACCTGCACTGCCTCTCTCCCGCAGGGAGACGGCTGCTGTGACTTTCCTCCCTCAGCCCTGCCAGCGCCTCTTCCCAGACCCTGTGACCTCCCCCCAGCTCCAGCCTCCTTGGTTCTCCCACGTCTGTCCTCTGTCGGGGAAGGAAGCACCTTGTTCTGGTTCTCTTTGTAACTACAGTTTCCTGAACTCTAAACCCATCACCGCCCCTCCCCCCCGACACACAATAATAATAAAAGCAACTATTGTCATCTTTGGGAGGTTTCCATGTTTCCACACAGCCTCAGTGAGTGGCATTCTCCTCCCAGCCGCTCCCACTCCCTCTTGCACGTCTGTCCCTGACTTGGCTTTCCTGTCCTTTCCTGTCCTGGCATTGGCCAGGTGGCTCCCAAATTGGCTGCCTCTGCTGCAGTTCAGAACAACTTCAAGAGCTCCCCGGTGGAGGGCCCCCCTGAGCCCACAGGGAGGCTGACCTCCAGGACGTCTTTCCTCATCCTCCAAGCCCAGTTGCCACAACAAACAGCGCAGGAGGCGTTGGTGGGTGGGCAGAGTGTAAACTCTGCTGCTGTCCATTCTTCCTCCGTCTGCCCTGAGGAGGCTGCAGAGAGGTGAACTGTGTGTCTTCCTGGGTGGCTGGGAGAGACTGGTGCGCCCGAGGTGAGATGACACCTGGCTGGGTGCCCAGACAGGCGGGGGTGAAGTCAGCATGCTTTAGCGTTCACTGCTGACCTTGGTGTCGCTGGTCAGAATTCTAGAACTGGTGAAGTGGAGGAGCCAGCCAGGAAATAAGATTCGTTAAGGTGCTCTGGCCTCTGCTGGAGACTGTTCACACTGCCAAACTATGGTACTCCGTCCTTCCAAGGTGGCCAAAAGCTTCCTCCTCCTGCTGGTCCAGGAGGCTGCTCTGATGAACTCCCTTTGGTCTTGATTTCCCCCTTGACTCCATGGCTCCTTAGCAAGCAGCCTTCATGGGGGATGGAGCACAGGGAGCATTCTGTGTTAACTGTGGGGCCAACCTACTCCACGTCCTGACCTGGAGCTCCCACAGGCCCTGCTTCACGGACACAGTCATCTCCACCCTGTTCAGTCAGAAGCCCCACGTGAGAGTAACGTAGAGTGGGTCTGCTTAACACAGATGGTGCCTTCTTTGGGCAGCTATACAATGGTAAATATTCTCAGTAATATTTCAGAAATATGGGTGATCTGTGTGGAGAACTGAGTGTGGAAATAGGGAGGCAGTTAGGAGTCTGCTGCAGTGGTCTGAGAGCGTGATGCTGGTGGCTTGGATGGCATGGAGGTGGCAAGGAGTGATCAGATTACAGCTAGAACTGATGAGAGTTGCTGATGGATTGGAGTGAGAGAGGGATGAGGGAGTGAGGGATGACTCATAGGCCTGAGCATTTGGATAGATGATGGAGCCTCTTTGCCTGGGTGGGAAATGCTGCAGGAGGAGCACATTTGGCTGGAGAAAATTGAGAGATCTTATTCTATTTGGTTAGATAAACCAGTGGAGATGTGGAGTAGGCCGTTCGATGTAAGCTTCTGGAGGTTGGCGGAGAGATTGGATCGGAAATATATTTGGGAATCTCCAACCTCTAAATGGTATATAAACCATGAGAGTGGATTTGATCCACTTGGAAGTGAGCATGCCCATCACTGAGAAACCAGGGAAGAGGGGGGGCCGGCCCCATGGCCAAGTGGTTAAGTTTACGCCCTCCACTTTGGCGGCCCAGGGTTTCGCCGGTTCGGATCCTGGGCAAGGACATGGCACTGCTCATCAAGCCATGCTCAGGCAGCATCCCACATGCCACAACTAGAAGGACCCACAACTAAAAATATACAGCTGTATACCGGGGGGCTTTGGGGAGAAAAAGGAAAAATAAAATCTTTAAAAAAAAGAAACCCAGGAAGAGGAACTAGGAAGAAAAAGAGGAGAGTGCAGCATCCCAGAGACCTAGAGAAGAAAGTCTCTCCAGAAAGAGGGGGTGATTACCTGTGACAGTGCAGTTGATAGCATTTAAAGGCATTGTCAGACTGGGAGTAGTGTCCTCTTGATGATTTCCTGGTTTCTTTTGTGCTCATGGGTTCCGCCTTCCCTCATTAGACTGGGAACTCACTGCAGCCAGGGATTGCTTGGTTTTCTTCTGTTTGTGCTTAGAGCCACTCAAAGCTGTGGCTTAACTGCCTGCTGGCAAAGCTCTGCTATCTGGAGGTGGAGGCCTGAGGGGACACGTCCTTGTACGAGCTGCTTTTGGAGCTGTCCATCACTGGGGCAGCGGGGACAGCATTGATGAGGAAGGGGCAGGGCTAGTCCCACTCTCGGCAAAGAGGCTAGTGATGTCCCAGCTCTGAGCAGAAAGGGTTGGGTGGCAGAGGAGAAAGGAAGGAAGAGGAAGGAGACAGAGAAGTGTCAGATTCCTGATTTAGGGAACTGTCAGCACCTTAAATGTAGCCAAACAGATCCAACCTGAGGAAGAGGGGCACTGAAGGGTTGAAATGAGCTCTTTGAATGGCCATTGATGGATGCAGCAGTTGAATCCTCTACCTTCCACCCCTGCAAATATATATGATGCCTGCTGTGGCTGAAGAAGGCTGGAGGAGCTTCTCACGGCTTCCCGTGGAGGTACCTGACTCAGAACCACCAGTTCAGGTCCTGACAAAGAGCAGACACCCTTTGTCTGGAGAGGAATTCTGTGGGCAATGCTTTGGGACAGTCCTGCCCTCTTCCCTTGACTGAGCTCCATTGATCTGTATCTGTGGGGATAACTGGGCCTGAAGGTCTGGCCATCTCTGACTGGTGGCAGAGCCTGTGGTGGAACAGCCTCAAAGACCCCTATAGGCTGGGAATTAATCTGTGTAGGGAGAGAGCTGAGTTTGCTGGCAATTGAGAGTCTAGGAGAAGATTTGGATCCTGCCCTGTCTCTTACACAGACAGAGTGAAAGCAGAGGACCCATAGGATCATAGGAAAGCATAGCAGTGGTTTCTGGTTGGGGCACCGTGAGAGCTTTGAAGAGATGGGAGGTCATCTTGAAGAGGCAGGACCGGAGGTTGAGAACCCTCTGCAACACAAAGGAGACACTGGGAGTGGGATGAGGATGAATTCCTGGCTCTACAGACTTTAAGCTGGTAATAAGTCTGCAAGCCAAGGGTCCAGCCCCTGGAGTTATCCTGGGAACCTAACTACTAAACTTTTCTGGGTGATCCCTGATCATGGGGCCTGATAAAACCCAAGCTTATTGCTCAAACTATGTTAAGATAAAAGCTGTTTTTATTCATTTGATATCCATTAAAGCCATCACAGATTAATTATTTTTCAAAAGAAAGAAAACTATGCCACAGTTCTGCAAGTAACTTCTGACCAGATGTTGAGGTCTTGGGATACCCTGTCATGCTTGAAATATTGTAAGAATTCTTTAGACAGTAAAATCTAAAAATAAAACCCCCCAAATTAAAAAGATGAATAAGAGAAAAGCATTGTAGTTTAAGAGATTTATTGGCTTATTTATTTTTCTTTATTTTTGAAAAGAAGCATGAGTTATAATTTAATACCAGATGCTGAGACCTAGATATACCCAGTTTTGTAGTGGAGAGGGAGGACACTTATAAAATGCAAGGACGTTCCTGAGAGAAAAAGCTGTGAAAATTACTGGGAGCTCAGCTGAATAGTCATTGGGTGTCTACAAGATAGAGTTTATCATGCGCATGAATCCTCGATCTGAAAATGAGTGATGGCGGTAGTGGCACGGGCAGGGGACAGGCGTAAAGACCATGTCTCATTAATTCGTGGTGTCTGAGGAAGGTTTGGAACCACTGACAGCTTCCATATCTACCAGCCTCCCACTAAGCTGCCTGGGGTGAGTTGAAATTGTATTTCATGACGTTATCCCTAACTGTGTTCCTTTCTTTCTTGGTGCCTGAGGTGAGTCTGGAGTGCATACATGGCAGTATGTACCCTTCCCCGCTCCATTCATACAGCTGCCTTCTCAGATCCCAGCTTGCTCTGGATTATAGCTTTTGTGGTTCTAGGCCAGATTTCCCAGAAGGATGTGGGTGTTGTTCTTTCTTCTTCCTAATTATGCCAGCCGATGTCCTGCTGACCTTCAGCCATATTGTATCCCTCAGGTCATGCACCCCACCTTCTGGGGGATGAGAGTGGTTAGTATAAGAGGCCCGCTCAGTGCTCTCCGTGAAGAGTGAGGGGAGAGCCAAGAGCATCCTCAGGTGATGGTAGAACTTGAACTTCTCTTGCCCACAAATTGAATGAAGATAGAAACTTGTCAGGCGTTTTATACAACACAAACCCAGTGTATGACACCATAGATGAGAAGCTAGACTTAGGAGGAGGCT